GCGTATACACACACACACACACACACACACACACAAACACAATTTGAAATGATTGTGGGAATGCATTTGTGATACACATACAGGAGTTACACACATTTGTGATACACATACAGGAGTTACACTAAATTGTCAATAATCAGTTGATCATTACAGTAAACATAGAAGAAAAGTAATTTGTACAATGCACTACTATTTTGTACTTACTTTAAATGAAACAGTATACCTTATTTTTATGTTATCATAAATTTATCAATGTATGGTCATGAAGTATTACAAATGTCCTGTATTACTCCCCAAAATTCAGTCAGTTGTTTAGTTGCCATACAGCTTTAATAAAATTGATATCAGGGCTTTGTGAGGCCAAACAATAGTTAGAAGTGTTTCATCAGATTCTTTATCCAGAAGATATCACTTCACCGAACTTGCTGCATACATGGGATCATTGTCGTGATAGAAGATTAGCTATAGTCTGACGAGTCTTGTTCCTTAGGGAATGACATGATGGATAAGAATCTGGTTGTACCTGTCATCAGTCAGGGTGTCATCAATTTAATGTAGATCTCCAACACCACAAACTAAGATGCAGCTCATACTTGAAAAGGTTTCCCTAACATGCTTTATTGTAGACGTTGTACATTGACCATGATATCAAACAATTTGTATTTAAATTAGACTGTAAAAAGAATTCTCCACTATCCTCTTATTGTTGAAGTCTAATGTACATTTTAGCCTTTGATTTGGTTCTCTTTCTTAAGCTGTGGTGTTTGGTTTGGTTTGCTTGTTTTGAATTTTGCACAAAGCTACACAAGGGATATCTGCACTAGCCATCCCTAATTTAGCAGTGAAAGACTAGAGGGAAGGCAGCTAGTCATCGCCACCCACCACCAACTCTTGTGCTACTCTTTTACCGACGAATAGTGGGATTAACTGTCACATTATAATGCTCCTATGCAGAAAGAGCAAGCATGTTTGGTGGAACAGGGATTCGAACCCTTAACCCTCAGATTGCGAGTCAAGTGCCCTAACCACCTAGCCACGCCAGGCTTCTGTGGTTTTTGAGCAGCTACACATCCAGTTAGGCCACTTTGTGCTAATGCATTCCTTACTGTTCTGGAGATAACATTAACACTTTTACTTACAGCTTGGTTACCTACTGAATTGTTGTGTGTGACAAAAAGGGCATATTCTAAGTTATTAAACATTATATTTGAAAAGTTTTGCTTTTTACCTCAACCTCTTCAATTATCAAGAATCCTAATTTCATGTGCCCTCTTCAAAGTTTCTATAGAGCTTCTAATAAAACAAAGTTTTTCTTCATTCATTTGGAAGGAATAGACTTTTTCAGTCATAAACTTTGATTTATACATGTTTATCATAAGACATTTCTTTTTTTGGAGCCAGGAGTGCATTCACCAAACTACTACTGGGAATAGTATGACTACTTCTACTATTATAGGCATTATGCTGGTGCATGCTATCTGTTTGGTTGACAATCCCTTACAATAAGAATTATCAGCATATAACTGTACGCAGAGGCAGTCCATTTTCATACAACAGGGGAAGAGCAATTTCATTATGTAATAACTTCTACCAGAAGACTTACTAAAATCTACAATAACATTTAGAATTTTATTAATACAAAGTCTTAAATATACGTAACAAACAAACAATAAAAAGCTTCTATGACCACTCTGTCCTAGGTCATCAGGTGGGTATCCTTGCTGCTAACAATGTTTTCAGCCTTTGCATTTATACCAATTTTATCAACTATTTCTACAATGATTTCCAATACTGTATATATATATATATATATATATATATAAAGTTCAGTGTCTGTGTGTCATGTAACTCCTTCTAAACTGCTGGTTGCTCCAACTTCTAAGTGATACATGTGAATTGTCTCGATCCTGAGGTTTGCACAATGGCTAAATTTTCATCCCACCCCTTGGGGAACCTGGGGATTTCCCAAAAACCTATTCCGCTAAACTGCTAGGCTCACCAACTTCTAAGTGGTGCTAAACAAATCATCTTTATCCCAAGGTTTGCACAATGGTAAAACCCCTTAGGGAAGCCGGGTATTTCAGGAAAACATTTTTATGGGGACTCTGTGAAAGAGTTAAAGAAATTAAACTTGCATTAAAGTGGCAATGATCCTTAAATTGAAAAAGTGCAAAATAGTAGTATAAGCATTAAATTTCATTATAATGGCTCTGTAAATGTGGGACATAGGCTCACAGGTACACTAGTTCACAAAATAAAATTCACTAATATGTAGATTATAATATATAGCTAACATTCATATGTATGATATTTCATAATTAAGACATACCTGATAACTAAAACAAATAACTGGTACAACTAGAAAAAGCTCTGTCCACACATCAGGGCTTGTTTTTATTGGTCCTGCTTCATGACTACCTTCATAGTATTTGTAAATAATTAGAAAAACTACATACAACACAGCAAGGACTCCCACAGTACTAGAAAGACAAAAAAAAGAGAAATGTATTTACAATCTGAAGTTCAATAAATTTTATTTATTTATATTTTTGAATATCAATGTCATTTTTATACAACATTAAATACTTCAGCAAACCCTCTGACAAATTTTAAATTAGGAATTATACAAAAGAAAAAAATTAGCACAATGTGATATTAAAAACGGACAGAGTTAAAGAATACAACCCTAAACTTACCCTCTCCACTTATAAGTCAAAACTAAGTAACATATCCCAATTGTGACTTAACGTTTAGCATGACCTAACACTTTCCTTTGTCTAGAGAAGTATAAATAAATTATGGAGACATTACTAACACATATAGCAACAAGTAGGTAAAATCATGTGTATAAATTTTTCTATTTTCAAGACACTAAGAAATACTACCAAATAAACTAAATGTTTTTAAATTGTCAGCATCTTAAGATACCTGTATGTAATGCCATTCATCAATATTACATTCTAATTAACAATGAATCTCTGAGGCAGTCGGTCCACATATGGTATTCCACTTCCAGGAACCATATATCTGGTATTTCCTTAAAGTTTTTACAGAATATACACCTTAATATGAGGAACCATACAGTATTCATCAATCCAAAAACTGAAAAGCATTGTAGCAGATATCATGATTTTCTTTTTTTTTCGTGGTAGACTGAGATATTTTTTACTAAACTTTGCTTGGTATCATGGTGATATTTTAATACAATATTTATAGGGATTCTCACAAAATCAGTAATCATCAGGAGCTGTAAAGACAACCAGCAGATTTTCTGTCAAGATTGCACATATCTTGGAGGACAGATGTTAGAAGTATCAGATCCAAAGCTTACTTGCTTGCAAGTACAAGGTATTAAAATACTCAACTTGCTACCAGCACAGCAGATGTCGATGCAATCATCACAGAAAGAGAGAGAAAGCCATAAAAGATGTCAGAGAAGAATTTCTGCTGGTGCTAGTGAAAATATCAAGCAGACAAAGTAAAGCACGCCAACCTACAAACTGGATATGTCCACAGAATCATAGGAAGACATTATAAGAGTGGTGAGAATATTTAACTGTGAGGAGATAGAAAAGCAATATATCCATAGAGCAAGTTACAACAAAAGATTCTTCAAATCAAACCCTAACGACCTTTATTTTATTCCAACTTTTCCAAATTTATTATCTCAGGTGGACCCTATTTTGTTACCAAAAGTCATACAATATATTCAGTTGACTCAAAGATTCATTGTTATGAAAGCCAAAGTAAAACAATGTTCCAAAACTAAACAAAGATTTAAAACAGGATTTAAACTTCTGTTTCCTTCTTTTCTTTCCTTAGAAAAGTTGATTTAAACATTAAGAAGTAAAAACAAATAAAATAATAAAGAAAGTTTTGATCCTTTTATTCATAATCCTGAAGTCAGTTGTTGTTAACGAGTCCCAGAAAGAAAAGGTTGAACATCTTAATAATTGCCAAAATTAAGAATAGAAATAAAAAGATACTGACTGAGGGTTAGATATAATTTTAGTTTTCATGTACATTTGCAGATGTTTTCAAGCCTCAATAAGCTAGTTAAGTGTGATAAGATTTCTTTCATGCATGAATATACGTTGAACCTTACATAAAAAGATACTCGTAAGCCAGACTCAACCAATCACAAAACTGTATGTATACACAAATAACTTTCTTGAAGATAACATAACTTTGTAAACACAAGTTACTAACAACTTTGACAAGTCTATCATGCTAATTTAAAACACAAGTACCAGAAAAATAAACCTTTATTAGGAGCAAAATATACTTGGGGTTACTATTTCCAATGGACAACTTCTGATTTGTATTTCTACATCAATGCCATATCAGTCTTTATGCTGAGGCTTTCATTACAGTTCACCTCAAAAATCAAATCATTAGGAAATTCCAACCCATATGTGTCCATACTTTGTAGAATTTCAATAAAGCTAGGATATATAATTGTCACTTTAACAACACATTTCCAAATTTGTATATCATGGTTTTAATTACTTGTATTTTTATTTAAAAATGAAGCATTTTCATTCTTTTGTAATAAATGTTATGAAGTGAGCTGTTATCTCAAACTGATTCAAAATCTGTCAAAAAATCTTAGTTTTAATAATTATTTGATATTGTTAAACACCATCAAAATTAACCTTTTTCTTGCTTGAAAATGTGTTTCAGATAGATACTTTACTGCACCACTAACAGTTGTTACCTCATATGCAACTGCTGTGAAATTTCCTGCACATGCCACCAGTTGAACAAACTTCCACTCCTACACATGTCTACATGTGTTACAATAGCCTATGATGTAATTGTAATATTGCTGTAGACCTCCACCAATAGGAAAACAACACAACTTACATGAGCAGTAATTCCTATGAGCACTAACATAGACCATAGGCTGGCACCTAGTAAGACTGCTCAAGCAGGGCATAATCTTTGCCCAAGAGGTTTTTTTTTCGAGATAAATGCTATAATCACAGGTTGAGAAAGGAAGAAACTCACCTGTGACCTGAGGCAAATCCAAGTTCTATCCTGCTGGACATATCCACTGGAAACATAACTTGTCACCAAGGACAGTAGAATGTCCTAATGTGGCTAGTGCTTTAGTGTCTTGGTTAAATACTTCCATGAAATAGATGATATAATGACAAATTGAGGAAGAAGGAGCCTTATCTGTGACCCAAGGCAAATCCAAGTCCTATCCACCAGAAACTGCTTGAGAGATATGATAATGGGGTGTTCTGTACTACACTTCCAGGTAACTCCCCAGCCCTACATTTCAAGCAAGGGGTGTGCTCATCTGGTCTCTTAATAGGTGGGAAGGCAACACTCACAGAGGAAACTGCATATTGACATTCCCAGTAGCTTGGGAATGAAGAAGTAAGGGTTCTTCCATGCTCAACTAGAAGAACAAATGGGACAAATACATGATGTGGAGTCCACTGGAGAGTGTGCATGGACACTATTATCAGGCGCAATCATCTAGGATAGGATTCCCACCAAGAGACAGTAAAATGAGTTACTGTGACTAAAGAAAGCAAAGGTGAGTCAGATGTAAGAGCAGGACTACACTTTGTGCTGACTGTTGTTTTATTTTTTCATAAAATGGGCAGAAATGGTCATGCTAATTGTATAGATTGTATTGCCAGAGCAGTTTTGCAGAAAACCCCATCTCAATGTGGACACTGAACAGGGGCAGGTGAGTTTAAACACTTTTTATTCTCCCTTGCTTGATGTAGATTTCTGGTAAGTGGTTAGTTTCTCACGTTATGTTCAATTTGGTGCATTTTGCCTACACCTTTTTTTTAATTGTTTGTGATCAAGTTGCAATGCATTGAAATGTGCACAATAATAAAGGTACACACATGGAGGTACCATGAAATGTATGAATAACATGGTGATAACTAAAAACTTAATACACTAGAGTATCTGGGTAGACTAAAGAATGGCAACTGGAGAGAGGCAGAAACCAGAGGTATATGAAACCACCCAACGATGTAAGTATACGAGATGAATGTTTGAGGTGTAGTCCGCATGCTAGTCTGTAACATCTCCTCCAAAGGCAAGAGAAGCTGTGATACACCAAATTTGATGTGAAGAGACACGAAATAGCATGTGTTCAAATCCTTCAAAAGAAAAATACATGAAACAGATGATTTGGCAAATCCAACCAGATAAGTTAGAAGGGGACAAATCCCAAAAGCCTCTTGAAAATCTGCCATGATAGACACAGACAAGGTAGTTTCTGGAAAAGGGGCAGTCCAAGTAAAATAGCAATGAATAGACCGTACAGGAAACAAAAAATGATCAGGATCAGAATGTTCATATAATAAGGAAATAGATGAGAAAGAGATAAGAGAAAACATCTGATCACACTCTTGGGCAGCCCAAGTCTTTGGAAGAAAGGAATAATCTGGATGGAATATCAACTGGTCCCTATTATAAAGAGTATAGGAGACATCTAAAGTGTAAATGTCTGAGCAACAATGAACACAAGCAAGGACAAGGAAAAAAAATGTCTTAAGAGACAAATTAAACAAGAAACATGAAGCCAAGGTTGGGAAGGCATGTAAGAACTTGAAGAACCACAAAAAGGCCCCAGTAAGGAAGAGGGACTGGACAATGTGACAAAAAAACTTAAAGAGGCCCATGAAAAACAGGAGGAGAGTAAGCACAGAGAAGGAGATTGAACCAATCCAGAATTAGAGCATCATTGGTAAAAGTAGTTGAGTCCAAGACTGGTGATCAAAAGAGGGGAAGCGTGTAATTTAGCATCAATCAATGGGGTTTCAAATGAAAAGTAATCCACTAGAAGATTGAAGGATGAAAGGACCACTCCATGAGATGAATCCTGTCCAGTTGAAACATGCAGTTTGCCACTAGATTCAAAATATCAGGGCCATGACATTTCATAAGATGAATACAACAGTGTAGGCCCAAGAACTGAATTTTAGAGTGAGAAAGTATAAGTCTTGAGATTGAGTTCCTCCCTGATAGTTGACGTAAAAAATTACCATAGAGTTGTCTGAGTGGATAAACATGAGATGACCTGACAACAGTGACCAAATAAGTTGGGAAGCCCTATAAGCTTCAATCATTTTATGAAAGTTGATATGCAGAGTATGCTCCTTTGAAGATCAGACTGAGGAAAGAGTGGAGGTGTCAAGAACTGCTCCAACAAGAAAGAAAAGAATCAGTGTAAAGATGCATGTTGGATTGGGGGTAGTGAAATACCTTAAGAAGTGTTATAGCATTTGACAAACCATAACAAAAAGGGATGAAGAGAGAAAAGTAAAGATAGAAGGACAGAAAAGGGGATCACAGGATATATTACAATGAGCCCCTAAAGCACAGTGAAGGGGACTTGTGACATGACTAAGAGGAATCAGAGCTTCTAGCAAAGCAAGAAATAGAACAGAACATTTTTTCCTTAGTGTACATTGTTGAAGGAAGCATAAAGTTGAAATGGGGTGACTAGAGAAAATGAAGTTAAAATCAAATAAGATGGAATAAAAATGCAACAACATTAAAAGTAATGTAGAACTAAAGAAACAAAAGGCAGTCAAGGTGACAAGAAACTCAAAAAACACAGGAAAAAACAAGACCTAGAAAAAAAGAAATGTTGGTGGAAAAATGAGCTTATAAATATGTGCTTGTACTCATGAGCATTACTGCACATGGGGGGGGGGCATCACTACTATTTGTGGAGGGCTACAGCATTATGACAGTTACATCATAGGCTAGTGCAATACACAGATATGTGTAGGGGTAGGAGTTTGTTCAAGACTTATAGCTATTTAGTTGTGCAGAGAGTTAAGTAGCATCTCTGAAATTTATGTTAAATATTACCTTGTAATAGGAAATTGGCACAAAAAAAGGAGTTTAGATTAAGAACCTATATGAGATCATAATTATTGAAGTGGATAGTGAAGCAACTGGATCCTTAAAATCTATATTTTATGATTTTTGGGTTATCTTTTATTACAGAAATTAATCTACTTGGTGACATACATGATGTTAAGAAAATACGTAGGTTCAAGAAGTCTTGCTAGAAATAAATAAAAACCCTATAACCCGAGCACTTTTGAAAGGTGGACCTTTTGAAAACGCTCGGGTTATAGGGTTTATATTCATTTCTACTTGGTGACAGTTTTTACACTATTCCTCAAATTTATGAAAACAAAAAAAGGACCTGTCAATGATGAAAATTCAGAAGCCCTAAATCAAACCCTGTAAAATGACTTAGAATAAATTACCTTGCATATTTGAGAAAGTCTATTCTTCGAGGAAAACATAATGGCAAGATAAGTAAAACACAACTGGTTATCATAGTAAAATTCCTGTTCATATACCAGTAATGGCAGAAGTCATTTCCATACAATGATGCAAAAACTGAAAGAAAAAGACAAGACTTTTTGGTGACTGAATTGATAAACATTACTATTTCTTAGATACAGAGTAATGTGTAAGATACTGTTCACCAATACAAACACTTATGGGTTTAATAGAATTTTTAAACAGAAATAAAGTAAACTTTTATTAGCTTTGGTCTGCTTGTAATAGAAACTGTAAAGTCATGCCATTTAATATGCGAGTTAGGCCATCTGTTTTGAGTTTTGGTTATGAGCTCTACAAATGCTTTCTATTAAAGAAAGTATAGATGTAGTGTTTAAAGCCTGGCTGGAGTTCATTCAGAGACTAAATTTCTTATAATGAATTAATCGCTGAAATCACTAGAAATAAGAATGAAGATAATATTCTAAATCAAATATTTATCAATTTAATTTATACTACTTTTATATCAAATCTATTATTCAGTATTGTACATTAAGTCTCCTTTTTGTATTACTGTAGTCAAAAGTTCTTTGTTTCTGTAAGAGAAATCTGTAAAGCTGTCAGTAACCATTCTAGAGAATGTTTCATCCACATAATGATGTATAAGCCAGTAGGGCAAAACTTAAATGCAAATGAGACAACAATTATTTTCTACAAATTTAGCAAACATAAGATCTTCATCACTTCCATCAGACAATCTATTTTATGCTACTAATATCACAGTATTTAGGTCTTAGCAACAGATGCTGAATGCAAAAATCATTATTTTATTTGGTTCTACTTTAATTACATCAATTGTTATTCTACTTATAATGAGACTACAACTAAACATTTTTGTACTCGTGTGATCACACATTTTAGGTGCTACACCTTTATAAAAGTTAACATGTTATACATAAATCTTTATTTTACTACAGTAGCCCTATGTTTATTCTTTTTATTTTCCACTAATACATATAAATTTTTTCCACATGAAAAGCTGATGAATCGTTTTAGAAGTGACTTTTCTGTTGCTCTTTAAATGATGTGTAGATTATGGACTTCCTTGTGACTATAACATGCATAAATTCAATAATTAAATACATTTGAAAAGCATATCTCAAAGAAATTATAAATACTATTAATAGCCATATCACACAACCAAATACAAACAGTAATCCAAAATGAAACACACAAAAAATGTTAGTCTTAGATTTATATAAAGTAATACTATTATAACTTGAAACATAAGAGAAAATACAGTACATAACAGTTAACCTTACGCAAGTCATGACCTTTTTAGTTACATTCAAAATTTAATTAAACAAATCTATTATTGATGTATACCAGTAAACTTGACAGCAACATGTAGTTTATACTTCAAATTTTAATATTATACAAGTTTTAACTTCTTAATTTCAAAAGAAAATATTTAAATATATCCTCAATCCTAACTTCTCTCTATCACATAACATTTTACTCCAAACTGCCCATTTTAGATTTTATTTCTACTCGTTTATGATCTTCCGAGTTTGACCCAAATTAGACATTTGTACTAAAGATGTTCTAAGCTTTAACATAAATTTCTATACTATAAGCTTTTTTGCTTTACTGAGATATTAACAAGAAAGACAAACCTACATGCTGTGCCTCTCCTGTTGCATTCAGTCTTTTAAAAAGTATCAGTAATTCTTTGTGACATTTGGATTACTAGTAACAAAAAGATATAAAATATTTTATTTTACTGAATTTTCTACAAGGCTAGCTCATTTAGCTGACAGATTTTGTAATATATGGCCTCAGATTTATTGTTTGATATTTTGGAGTTCTCCACCACCTAATGGAATTTTTTTTAAATTCATTCACTGCTCAGTTAGAAAGCCAGTTAAAATATAGTAGTTTTAGAATATTTATTTTTTTGTTCCTGATAACATTTTGTGTCTTAAATTGCATATTTGAAATTATAAATATTGTTTTCATGGTAAATCAGCATTGTTTCAATAGAAGGGTTAACATGCTTTGTTTTCCAATGGCAATAAAAAAAAGACAAGGATCCAGATGTAAGTACTAAGTTGGTTTTATTATGTTTTCTAATCATTGTTATAAAAGTAACTAAAATATAAGAAAATTTAATTTAAAAAAATAAAGTAAAAATTACTCATGACAGCATGACCACAATACAAGGTATGATTGTTGATGCTGGTAATTCATCCTTTGTTTAAACAAAACTGTACCAAAGTACTAAATGGCTCTTACTGTACTCTAAGAGGATCTAAATCCAGCTGTAAAGCAATATAACTAAAAGAACTCAGGTTTCAAAAGTATTAGCTCTGGCTGTAAGAATAAAGTGTGTCATTATCTGTTACAACATGCAGTCATTCTAGAAAGAAAAAAGGTAATTTAGATCATTTTATATTTTTCAACTTTTCATTTTATCCTACATTGCTAATTTTGCTAGTTAGTATTAGGATAGAGAAAGAGAAAAAATAATAGATAAAATAGTCTTACTTAAAATACTTTTGATATTCAGTTAGGAATTTCTAGAGGATATGCAAATTAAATATGAAAACTAATACAAAAAAAAAAGTCTTCATTCTTAAAATGAAAATCACCAGGCACCCAAACTAGTCTGAGTTCATAAATTCACAGACAAATCTTTAGTAAAAATACTTTAAAAAAAAATCTGATTTTCATGTATAACAGACTTGTAATGTTTACAATTTTCATGTTATACACACAGTAAATTCAGAATTATAGTAAACATTAATTCTTCAATACAGGCTCTGTCTAATGGGCCAACCCCTGTGCATGCAGAGTTAATTGGAAAGTACCTCTTTCAAACTGGTCTCCAATGATAATAATGAATGTGATGCAAGTTCCATAACAATAAAGAATGACTGTGACAGCACACAACTGTTGAACTTTTTTTCCACATACAGCTAACACAACTTCTTGATAAGTTGAGCTGTTATTTCTATCGGAGCAATAAGCCAAGATGACCAAAGCACCAACCACAAAAGCTATCAGAACCTATATTAAACAACACAAAAGAACATATTGATATAATAAGTAAAACAAATTTTTCATTACAAATATGTTTCTTACTTCATAACTTTTTTTTTGTAAGAAACTATTAAAATGACACAATACAATTTTAATCTTGTTAAATAAGTAATCTGATTCCTTTTAAAATGAAGACTAATATGACCAACAAAAATTCAACTGAGATTAGGTAATACTTGAAATAACATTGATAACTACAATATCTGAGTTTGAAAAGTAGTGTTTCTCAAGTATTTTATATAGCTGGGTTAGCTTTTAATTTAATAGATGTAAATTGATAGACATAGGACATACTGTAACAAAGAAAATAAACATTCATTATTAGAAGCCAACAATCATAAAAGTACCTTTCACACAAACTGCAGTATTTATCTGAATTCAATTTAAGTAGTTTGAACTAGATGCTTTAAACTACTAGAAGTTAAGAATTTTGTTACATTACCCAATTAGTGAATTACCACATTAGTGAATGATTATAAATCACCTAAAATCTCTTTTAGATAATATTTGTATGTACCTTTAAAGGACATCCCCTGTAATAATGTATGTTTCAGTCAAAAGAATTAAAAAACAAACAAGAACTATAAGGCTACAGATGTGATAAGCTGCAGATCTCTCTATTTCATGTTTTCATAGCTTATAACTGGATATAAGACATACTTGTAATATGTGTAGAATGCATTTCATAAAGGTCTAAATAATATCTGTTGTTTTACAAGTGAACTCTAAAAATACTTCATATCCACATTCTGCTATCTTAATACAAAAATGTTTCAATAGATGCACGACAACATGTACAGAAAACAATTTCCTATAAATGCTGTCATGTATTCCATATTACTTTTACGGCTATACAGATAGGTAGTGCATATTCTACCCAATACACTTTTGATTTTTAATCAATAACTTTTGTTATTTTCTTATAAAGATTATAAAGTATCAGTCATACTCCAATGTACCACAGAGTAAGATAAAAGTGTAAAGGTCAAGATGTGATGTACCCAGACAAAAATGCCAGATAAGCACATACACACATGTTTGTAAATTACTTTTGACCTAGAAGAATCATTGGGTGACATTTTAATGCTTTAAATGAGTTGAAAAAACAATAAATTTACTTTGTTCTCAAATATTTTGCACATTTATCTCTCTTCTTGCTTTTAATATCCTAAACCAGTGTTTTCTAAACTGTGTTGCAGCAAGTTTCTAGGGGTATCGTGAGAGTTTCACCAAATGAAGAATAAATAAGAACAACAACAAAAACAAAATATTGCATGTGGCAGCTGGGGTATCATGCAAATCAGGATAAGTGGGTTAGGGTGTCATCAGTGAAAAAAATTTGGAAACCACTGTCCTAAGCATTTAAAATACCAAAATTATAAAAAAATATGATATAATAAAAAAAAAAGTGTGTGTTAGTCTGGTTCACTTTTCAGAAAAGTGGTTGACATCAAGCATTTTAGGATAACTTTTGGCAAACAATTGATTTTGGTCAATTTTGAGGGTGCTAAACTCAACTTTTGTTTATCCACCTAGCAAATGGCTCCTTCACCCTCAAATTTGAAAAACAAAATAGGCACCCATAATCCCCCCAAAATCATTGACTATTACCTTGTACAGCCAAAAAGTGAAGGGAAATTTGTGGCTCAAGCATTTAATCACAATATTTTCTGTCTTTTTTTAGAGACCTAAGTGGTTCTTGGAACTAAACAAGAGGTAATCCTCAACAGCAATGGCACTTGAGATTCTTTTAGGCAGGATAAGAGTAAATTAATCTATGAGACCTTTGTTTCCCTTTTTACTAGCTATATTTTTGTGAGCCACTAATACTAAGTGTGTGGCGCACTTAGACCCAATTCGATTTTATTACTCATCAGGCTCTCTACCGTCCTCTTCTCAAATTGAAATTATTTAAGGCAGGATTAGAATAAATTAATCTAGAGACCTTGCTAGCAAGACAAATAAAGCTGGTCGACTCCCTTACAGGAACTTGTTGTTCCATATGAAGCTGGGTGAACTGTTGACCTGAATGAAACCATGAAACATGAAGTGTCACTAGTCCCTCTTTCTTTAGCAGCATTGGATGACCCTTTGAGATAGGATCAAAGTCACTTCCAGTTGATGAGGTGATATCAAAGATGAGTTGCCCTAAGAACCTGCCTCAATATTAAGATGCAACACTGATGTTATGTCTGTAGCACATATCCTTGAAAACCTCAAGTGGCAAAAACCTTTGTTTTCTATGCACTTGACTTTAAAAGCAGAAGAAAAATTCAAATGGCTTGACATTGTCTCTGACCATTACAAAATTTCTTCTGTGGAGTCCACCACTCGACATAGGCACAACAAAACTAAGAAATTAATGTCAATCAGAAGGTTAATTCAGTCTTCCAATGTTCCTTTACTCATGACTGGGCGGGTTTTTTCACTGTTACAGAAAACAAGATTGAATCAGTGGAAATTTCAAAGCAAGCTATGCAAGCTGAAATACCTTTGAATGTGTGTGCAGAGGGATTTATTCAGCAAAGTCATGTCTTTTGCAGCATATGTTGCTGTGACATTCATTCAAAGCTCCCAAGAAGAAGCAGATACATGAATAATATTGCACTGTATCCATTCTAGCACTTCTGTCATTATTATACAAGCTCAAGACACAGATATACTGCCCATTTTGAGAAATTTCAGTGTGAAGAGCTGTGGATGAAAGCAGATTCTCAGAAGCTTCCCAAATTCATTCCAATTCATGAACTTATCTCTGCTTAATCACTGCTATGCACTTTGTCCAACCTTTTGCCATTTCATGCCCTTAACAGCAGTGATTCAGGATCCTTTTTGGCAGGCCATAGCAAGAAATCAACTTTGAGATACTTTTTTGAGCACAGTACACTCCTAGATGGACTTGGCATTGCATCTTTGACATCAGAAGTGATAAAGTATGCTGAAAATTTAGCATGTATAATTTTTGAACCTGTTATTGAAGCTGATAGCATTGACCAAATACAAGTGGTCCAGTTCAAAAATGCTCAGCAGTTAGACAAACTTCCTCAAACTTGTGATTCTCTCAACTTTCATATCATGAGAGTACAGTATCAGGTTCTCATTTGGCTACAAGCACATGTTCCATCTCCACAGCTTCCCACTGTGAGTGATTATGGTTGGGTACTTGCTGATGGTCAGTTACAGCTGGTTCTGTCCTCTTTACCTCCAGTATCACAAGTATGTGAAGAACTGATCACACATCAGTGTAAGATGAGATGTTCAACAATGCAATGCAAGTGTTGAAAGTCAAAGTTGGGATGCTGTGGGGCATGTAAATGTGCAGGCAATTGCAAGAACATAGACAACTAGTTTTTTCTCCTTATAAGATTTTCTAAATTAACATATGACCAAAACCTATCCTCTACTATTGAGCATTGATTTTGTGTTTCAATTTAGACAAACCAAATACTATTTAACTCCTTGAACGCGGGCTCAGTCCTTGGGACTTACTTCGTAACCATTTTTTGCTTGTTATAGTTTTCATGCTATAATTTTTAAATTAATAGGCGAATGTTAACAAAATTTGGCAGTTTATCAGTAAACATTACAATGTCTTCATAAGCAAAATATATAATTTTTTTTATTAAGTCTTATGGTTCGTAAAGCAATGTTTATCTCATGCCTTTTTTTCTTTTCACATCTTGCCTATCTATCATGCAAAGTAAATTTCATATTAACATTAAAAATACTTTTAAGCATCAGAAACTTTTGAAATTTTACATGTGAAATCTTTATAATGTCCAAATAGTTATCAAATGTTTCTTAAGAAAAAACTTTATATTTTTATCTGTATTTTCAGTAATTAGTCTCTGTATGGGTTCGGTAAATTTGACCGATCTCGCAACCACCATAAAAAATTAGGAAATAAACATAAATTACGCATCTTCCATTCTAGAATGAACACAAATTATAACAAAAACATAAATGT